ATTAAAAATTCATTAAATTAAAATATATTAACAGAACTATTTTCAAGAGGAATGTTATATCCAGATAAATTAAAAATATTATTAGATCTTTTGTACTAACCAAGATAATTAGAAAGCAGATATACAGATTGGGCAGCTACACTCTTATTAAGTGATCAAATTAATAATATATTATAATTCTAAAAGGATAGGTTAATTTACATATCAAAATACTTAATATATTTTTGTTAAATATATATAAAAGATAATGTTGAAAAATTAACTATAGAAAATTTACTTTTATTATTTGATTTTTTAACAAAAAGTGTGAAAAAAGTAAATAAATTAAAAATTAGAGGAAATAATAAGTAATTAGCTGATTTTGAAGATTTTTTATAAAGATAACATATTTAAATTTGTTATCCTGATACAATAAATAGATTAATTATATTATTAGAGAAATCAGAAAATTATTTAATTTGGAGTAAAGTATTATAAGTAATATTAATGATAACTCCTTAATTACAGAATGAATTATAGATATATAAGAGAGTTATTTAATCTTATTTAGGATGTAATTAGAAATTATTAATGAATGAATTACTATAATTCACTTTAAATTTAGCATAATAATAAGTATAAATAAACTAGACATGTTCTTAAATAATTGAAGCTTTATTACCACATTTAGATTAAAATGATATTAAACATATATTTATTGTATTCTCTTAAGAAGTATAACATATCTATTTAAATAATGTCAATATTGTATTTAAATATATAGGCATGAATTTACCTTCTTTAGGTGGAAAAGATGGAATTATTATTTCTGATAGTTAAGTCATACAATAATTAGAATTATGTTAATCAATGATATATTTATTATTATAAAGTGAATAAACTTTAGTATAATTAAATGAGAATCCAGATCTAAATTATTTATTTAAATGGTATTGCTTAAATTCTTATTCAGGAAACAATTTAAATTCATATAGTGGATAATTACTTAAATAAATGAGTGATTCATTAGATTAATTATTTGAATTATTACCATGTAAATAATACATGTTATAATAATTAATTAATTTTTAAATAATTAGATTACTCCATATACTGCATATACTTATACAACATAAATTTTAGAAGTTGTTTAATAATCAGATGATGTTGCATAGTAATTCTAATCAGATATATATCATTATTTAATAAATAAAATAATAAAAGAGAAATAAATTACATAAGTAACATTTTTTAGAAGAAGAATTTGGTAGTAAAATGAAAGTATATAATTTGCCAGGTTAAAATGTTTTCATTAAGATTGGCCATTACATAAGAAAGGTGCAAAAAGTAGATTAGCACTTATTACTCTTCCATAAGGTATGAGAAGTGAATATTAAATGGTATTCTAACTTGATAATGAAATTGAAATTAAAAATATTAAATTAGGTATTTAAACATTTACTACAGATTTTACTGATAAATAATTGGGTACTCCAAGTAGTATTTTATTAGAAGTAGGAAAATCATTAGAAGAATTATATCCTATAGCTGAAATGTAATTAATTAATGATGAATTTTATTCACAATACTAAGTCAAAGTATTTTGTTATAATTCTTAAATTATGAATAAATAATAATTACCATCTGGATAATCTATTAAATTCATAAGTTTTAGAATGAGATAATAATATGTAGAATAATTAGATATTACAAAACCAATTAAAAAATTATGTATAGGCATCAGTTTTATTTCAGTTATTGGTTGTGCGACAAATTAATAAAAAGTAGATTTTATATATACATTAAAAGAAAAGGCAGCAATAGAAATTTTATCTAAATTTTGTAAACCAACTTATTAAAAGATTTTATAATAATTAGCAAATGATTCTATTGTATTGGAATAGCTTTGAAATAACATTAATAAATTTATGAATACATTAAATTCTTATTCATTTTAATTAAGTCCATTAATCTTGGCAATTTCTAAATATAATCATTAAGTTGTAGACCTTAAAAATAAAAGAAACATTACCATAAATTAATATTTCATAAGAAACTACTAATTTACTTTTTCCTAATTATGGTACTAATTAATCATTATTATATTATAGTGTTATACTAATATATTTATTACCAAGTTAATTAAAATTATGTGAATTAAAATAATTAATAGTATTTAATAAATATGGATTAAAATAAGAATCTAAGATATTTGAAAATTAATCTAAATTAAGTGAATTACCTACAAATTAATAAAATATAATAGAATTAGAAATTAATGCAAGAGAATTTATTGATAAAATACAACCTAAAACATCATCTTTAATCTATCCATAATAATTAACAATATTCCAATTATTTGAAGAACTTAATGGTGTAAATGCTATGTTATCAGTAATCAGAGAAGGAATTGGATAATGGAAAAATTAATAAAGAGTCAATTCTTGGTTGTAATTATTTAATGAATTATAATAATTTTGTTAATTACCTAATTTTTTCAATTTATTTATGAAGAATCAATCAATAATGTGTAAATTTATTATTTGATTTATTTGCTGGACCTCCTGATTCAAATAATAATAAAAAATTAGAAGAAGAAGAATAAAATGCTATTAAATTTATTTATACTACACTCGTTAGTGTTTTCAATGCAGTGAATTTAAAAAGAGTAAGAAAGCTTATCATAAAAAATTGTCAGAAGCTGTTAAAGAATTAGAAGAAGAATTAAATAAAATTTAACCACCTTCCGCTATCGATTTAGAAGGATCTAGAGTTTTGAAGACACATATAAAGAAATAACCTAAAGTTAAAAATGTAAAAGAAGGAATGGCTAATTTAGATGAAGTAGATGTTACATACACAAAAATTTAATAAAAAGAATTTGAAGCAAATGATGAAAATGTATTAGATAGATGGAGTAGATATATTGGTGCTATGGGTATGGATGCAGTAAAAAAGTAAGCAAATAGTAGTGTTTTGGTATCAGGTATTGGAGCTTTGGTTGAAGTAGCTAAGAATATAGTTTTATCTGGAGTCAAAATGTTAATTATTCACGATGAATAAAAATGTACTTAATATGATCTTAATGGGTAATTTTTCATTGAAGAAAAAGATATTGGTAAAAATAGAGCTGAAGTAAGTTGGGAGAAATTATAATAACTTAATTCATTTGTTAGAGTAAATTATGAAATATCAGAACTACTTAATATTGATTTCACTAAATACAATATTGTAATAATTTGCTGAATTATGTCGTTAACATAAAGTGAAATTAATTATAAGTTCAGTTGATGGAGTATTTGAAAGAGTATTCAATGATTTTCGTTAGTCATTCATCGTTGAAGATAAGAATGATGAATAAACTGTTGATTATATTGTTAAATCGGTTACTGATAAAGGAGATAATAAAATGCATTTTGAAATAACAAGTAAACATGAATTTTAAGATAATGAAATTGTCATGATTGAAAATATAGAAGGAATGATATATTAAAATAGAAATTCAATTAATAAAACTGTTTAAAAAGTTAAAGTTATTAGTAAGACTATTGTAGAAATATAATTAAATGGATATTCTAAATATATTAGAAATGAAACTCTTAAATTAGTAAAAGTACCTGTTGAATTATCATTCTAACCATATAATTAAGAATTTATTAATAAACCAATTTATGATCCTAATATATCAGAATATGATTTTATTAAATTGTAAAATACTGAATATTTACGTAATCTTTATAATAATAAAGAGATTAAGGATGAGAATTTTGAATCCTTATTTAAACATTATCCTATTTTAGGAGAATTTTCACATTTATCTGCTTATCTTGGCGAATTTGTATCATAAGAAGCTTTAAAGGGAATAACTAATAAATTTACTCCAATTTAATAAATATTTTAATATCTAAAAATGGTAAAACAAGTGAAAGATCTTTAAGTAGATTCTTGGGAATAGAAATTGCTGATAAATTAGAAAAATCTAAAATATTTATGATAGGATGTGGTGCTATAGGTTGTGAATTACTTAAGAATTTTGGTATGCTTAATTTAGGAATAAGGGGCTCAATTACAATTACCGATTCCGATCATATTGAAGTTAGTAATATAAATAGATAATTCTTATTCAGAGAAAAACATTTAAGAAAACCAAAATCATCAACAGCTGCTGCTGCTGCTATTATATAAATGAATCCTTATTTGAGAGATCACATTATAGCAAGACTTGATAAAATTCATGATTCAACAGAACATATATATACAGATTTATTCTTTGAAGCATAAGATATTATAACTAATGCACTTGATAATGTTCCTGCTAGAAGATATGTAGATAAACGATGTGTAAATGCACCTAAGCTACTTTTAGAATCTGGTACTCTTGGACCAAAAGGTCATGTACAATTTATCATTCCATTTTAAACTGAATAATATGGTAGTTCTAATGATCCTGTAAAAGAAGGTGATATTCCTAATTGCACATTAAAAATGTTCCCAGAAGAAACTTTCCATAGCGTTGTATTTGCAAAGGATAAATTTGGTAAACATTTTTGAGCAAGACCAAAATAATTTATAAAAATGATGGCTGAAGATTATATTCCCAGCTTAGAAGATAATAAACCTTTAAGAGAAGGATCAAATTATTTAAGAATAAACCAAACAGTTTTGAAGATTGTATTAAATGGGCAAGAGGGAAATTTTAGAAATATTTTGTTAATGATATTAATTAACTTATGTATACGTATCTAGAAGATGCTAAAACTAAAGATGGTAATCTTATTTGGACTATGCCTAAACGTCCCCCTAAACCTATTTAATTTGATCTTGAAAATGAAACTCATTAATAATTTGTATCAACCTTTGCTTTCTTAAGAGCCAAAATGTTTGGTCTTGAAACTAATAAAGATTCGAGAACCAAATCTTATAGATAATAGGTAGCCAAATAAGCTAATTTAATCACTTTTCCAGAATGGTAGCCAAGTGAAGAAAAAAAGAAGGTATAAATTAATATTATTATTTTATAGTCTATTTCTGATAAGGTTAAAGAATAAGGATAAAAAGAAGAAGCAGAAGATAATGAATCTAATCAAAATTAAAGTACTTAAGAAGAAACATAATAATTATTTAAATAATTTAGATCCTTATTACCAATTAATTTATAATCAGATGAATTTGAAAAAGATAATGATTAGAATGGACATATAGATTTTATTCATTCATTTGGTAATTTAAGAGCTGCAAATTATAAATTGGAAACTATGGATTGGTTAACTGTAAAAATCAAAGCTTGGACGAATTGTTCCTGCTTTAGCTACTACTGCTGTAGTTGCTGGTTTATAAACAATAAAATTAATTAAGACATTAAAAAAATGTCTTAATTTCAGATATGAAAAATGCTTTTGTCAATTTAGCAATTTCTTTTGTAAAATTAACTGAACCAGGTTTAGTACCTAAAAAGAAAATAAATGAAAAAGTCATTGTTACTTTATGGGATATTACAAAATCAACTACTTTTGGATAATTATTTGAAATTCTTAATTAATAATATGATTTACATCCAAGAGATGTTTTTTTAAAGGCTTAACCTGTGTACATGGAAATAATGTATGCAAAAAAGCCATAAGAAAAAAAATACTTTTTGGATTAACCAATCATAAAAATATTAGAGATATTAATCATTAGAAATATATTGATATAACAATCAATTTTACATTAACATAAGAGAGTTGGGAATACCATAAGTTAGATTGATTTTGAAATGATATCGATAATATTTTATCAATATATAAATCATAAAATATTATTTTCTTATATAAATGATTCAATATCTCTATTATTGGAAATAATTATCCTCTAATTCATCAATAAATGTGAAATAAGCAATAACAGCAGTAATATCATCACAACCAAATTTCAAATATGGCGAATCTCCAATCTTAGAATTCGTTTTCTTTTACTTATTCATTTCATCCCCTCTAGATCTACATTCAGCAACCTATCTAAATACTTATATTTACTATTGCCTCAGCAACACTCTCTTTAGGCTCATGTTTCAATACAAATCCACAAACTTCTGCCTTACTCATCACATCCCAAACACCATCTGATCCTATTATCATAAATTTATCTTATTTTGTTAATTCAATATGTTAAACCTCTGGCTCTGATATTAAATCTATTTTCTTTGATTATAAATCCCCCACTTTATTTAATATTAATTTCAATACGTTCTCGTCATAGCAATACCTGGACCTTCATCATCTGCCCAAATACGATAAGGCCCTACAGGTTAACCATCATGTATCAATCTTTCTATTTTACCTCCACATCTTATGATTCTCTCTTTCTCATCTCGTCTTGTTGGTTTATGATCATAAAATAATTCTATGGCAAGTTTCTCTTTTGCAGTTTATCTAAATAGTACGGCTCTTGAATCACCCAAATTATCAATATAACACATATTTTTGACTACAAATATTACAAATATTGATATTGCACATGTTCCAGAATTACTATAATCTATACTCTTAATTTTGCTTCAGCATTTTTAAAAGCACTCTTTCAAAAACTTTCTCTCTATTTATCATTCTACAAAGCTTTTATTCTCTTTGAATTGTTCTCGAGAAATGTTTAAATATAATCATTAGCCTAAGATGCTTCCTTACCTGATGAACCATGACCATCATAAACTTAATATAAAAATGAAAACAAACCTGCAAAAAAATAACGATCTTCAGTAAATCTTTCCATAGTACAATAAGAATGGGTTGGGTTTGGGTTTGGGTTTGGGTTTGGGGTTGGGGTTGGGG